CATTATCTTAACTGCTGGAGATGATACAATGAACTGATGAAGTCATACATTTGTATTATTATTGACACATTGTCTGTCTGAGCCCCTAGTTTCAGAAGAGGATAAGGATCTGGAAAACCTAAGCAGCTGCAGGGATGATTATGTTGCCTGAGATGGTAACGCAGTATTATTTGTTCCATATAAATGTGAAGAAGTTTATGCAATCTTAGCTGTAACACTCCTTTGAAGAGTATATCTATCTGAAGTCCTATGACACTGTGACTCACAAAGACTAGCAAAGGTCGGTATGAAATATATTTCAAGATATGTTAAAAATCAAAGTGACAGAAACAGCAAGAAAGTCAAGGGCAGAACTACAGTGAGCTATATCTCTTTTTCTTACCATTATGAATAAGGATTTTATAAAACATAGGTAACACTGGATACCTTGTGTGTTATCTAAGAACTCATCTCGAATGGAGGCTCCTCTAGCATTTATTCATTCAACAGGAACTTATTTGGTATTTTCTCTGTTCTGGCCACTGAGGAAAGAACAATAAACATGATAGAGTGCTTGCTCTTGGGAAGCCTGAACTCTAAGAGACAGACATTAAACAATAATAACTACAGAAAGAAACATATACTCACAACTGCGGTGAGTGCTATGGAAGAAGGGTACAGGGTGCCATGAAAACAAATAACAAGGGCAGCAAACATAAGCCAACAGAAGGGTCAGTTAAGGCGTCCCTTGAGGCAGTAGCACGCATGCTGAGTTGATACAATGGAAAGATTGAGAGAAGGGCAATATTGTCTTCAATTTCACTGATCCTTTGCTGTATAAAATATGGTTCTACTCCATCTAATAATTTTTTGATTCTATGATTTCCATTCGTTCTTTTTTTTGTACTTTCTGTGCCCCTGCCCTGAGACTCACTATCTCTTCAAGAATTTAAAAAATATTTCCCTTTGGCCTCTATTTTAACTTTAAAAAAAAATGACTGTAGATCCCAAAGAAGTTTCAAAGATAGCAGAGAGGTTTCATGTTCTCTTCCCCTGGTTTCTCCTGTTAACTGCGTCTTATTTAACTATTGTACAATAGCCGAACCAGAATACTGACAGTGATATAGAGCGTGTACGACCCGTTACCCGAATCTAGTGTGTAGATTCACGTAACTGCTGCTGCAATCAAGATACAGAACTATTCCACCCGGCAAAGCTCGTCCTCATGCTTTCACCCCTTTGGGGTCAATCACACCTGTGCCCCGCGCCCCTCTCCCCGCCACCGATAACTCCAGGCAACCACCAATCTGTTCTCATCTCTAAAATTTGGTTTCAGGAGTGTTATATAGAGTTACTCAGTATGTGCTCTTTTATGATTGGCATTTTACATTCAGCATAATGCCCTTGAGAGTCATCCAAAGTGTTGCATGTATGAACAGTTCATTACTTTTTGTTGCACTAGTATTTCATGGTGTGGATGCATTGCAGTTTGTTTAACCATTTACCAGTTAGAAGATATGTTGGTTGTTTCCAATTGTGGGCTATTTCCTATGAACTTTTAAGTATATTCATTGTAGTTATTGTTCCTATTGACGGTCCTTACCTTTGAAAGCAACATCTAAGACTTTTTGCAGGTTTGTTTTTGCTGACTAATTTTTTTCTTTCTCTTGACTGTGGGCATATTTTCTTGTTTCTTCTCATGTTTAGTAATTTGTTATAGACTAGATATGTTGATGATGCATTATAGAGACTCTGGATTCTGTTATCTTCCCTGAAAAATGTTTTAACAGGCAGTTAAATTACTAACAGATCACTGAGAATGTGTGGAGACTTGGTTTTTTGTTGTTACAGTGAATCCATTTCCTCCCATAACCCAAGGAAAATCCCTTATTCTTGTGACCTAGTTTTTACTCCTGAGATGTGATGCTTTTGGGGTTTTTATGAAAAACCTAATTTATTTACCAACTGGCGCCAAATGGCTGGATTCAAACTCTAAACTCTGACTTCCATATGGTAAATACCAGCTAAAAATTCTGTTCATTGCTTTTTCAGCCTTCCAGCCATTTTTCTCTCCTGGGCTTTTTGGCATTTTACCTGCACACTTGCCGTTTGAGGACCTCAGACTTTAACTTTCTTCTGTAGATCACTTCTTTCTGAAACTTTCAGGAAACTGGAAATACTAAACTCCATGCTCTGATTCATCAGGCCAATAAAAGTAAAAACTACAGTTTTTTTTTTAAGTTCTCTTGTCCAACATTTCCCAGGTTGAGGAGTGGCCTCAAGGAAAAAGTTATGTAAACACAGATTTCATGAAGTGTAGTGCCCTCCACCTGATGGGTGATTTCCCTCTAGTTTTTGCTTGGTTTTTAGTTACTCTTCCATGTCTACAAGCAGAGTTTAAAGATTCTTCTCAAGGTTAATACTTTTTAATCTATAGGAGGGTTAGATCGCTATGTTGCTATGAACTACTCTGTCATGTGTTAACATGTTTTGTTTTTGAATTTTGGCATAATTTTGTCTACTTATGTTTCTGTGAAAAGCGTTTGCGGACTTCCTAGTTTAGCTTTCCATGGATAAAAACACATTTTTTTCTTCTTCAACTATTTTCTCTCTTGACAATTGAGAGCTCTCTCTGTTTTCCCCCATATGTCAAATTAACAAACAAAACAAAACTCTATTCTTCTGGAATAAAAGTTTCCTGGTTTGAGATGCAATGAAATCCTATTATGTTTAAGCCCAGTATTATGCAAGTTCATAAACAAACAATTATTTCATAAACAAACCGTTTATGAAAGAAAGATCAGTTAGATGAGAACTTTTATATTATTTACTAGCCAGTCACTAAGTCTTCTTCAGAGCAATATATAGTATACATCTAGATATTATATAATAAATGAGGCTTTCTTCCTGCCTTTATTTTCCTTTGCCACCTTAGAAAATTTCTCAAATCCTCATGTGGAGTCATGGAAAATGCCCAAAGTGTTTGGTTAAAGTTTGTTTTATAACCTTTTCATTTTATTAGAATAAACAGATTTTAGTTTGCTTGACCTTTCCATTTAATTGCCTCTCTATAGAACATTGCTTTTCTAGTAATTGAAAAGCCATTCTCTCCTTTTTACCTTCCTAATTGTACCTACCTTTCACGTGTCTATCTAGAACGCATCTTATGAATTTTCTTACCAGTGGAACTATTGACTGTATGGCCTTATTTATGCCGGGCCTGCCCCTGCGATGTATCAGCTGGCACACACCAAGTGATGCGTTATATCAAGACCTCATTTGACAGGGCAAACGAGATGAGGATGACATCACAAAAGAGGTGGCCTTGAAAACTACGCCTAAAATACTTTGAAAGCTATTGGGGTTGCAGTCACACAGTGGGAAGCTTCTTCCTTTCAGAGACGGTCCTCAAAATCATGCTATACAGTCTCATTTTATAATCCAGCCACCTCATATGAGTATTTCCCAGAAAGATGAGCGAATTCTCAAGGGCAAGTATCATGCCTACTACTTCTTTGTCAGCATTGAGCATAGTGCATCACAGTTGAGTAAAATTTATTTGAAGGCATTGCTTCAAATTTCGGCCATGTGGTTGAGCCTGTATGGTTTTTTTTTTGTTTATCATTTTCTCATTATCTGTCAGTGTCTGAATTTGAGATCCTGCTAAAGAGCATGAAGATACACCTGGAAGATTCATGATTTGGCTTCTGCCTAATTCTCCCGCCACATCTCCTACTAGTCTGTTTTCTCTCTCACTTACTGTGCTCTTGCTGCATTGGTCTTCCCTTAGTGCTTCAAGGTATCAAGCAGCTCCTGCCCCAGAGCTCAGATGGGCCGTGACATGGCTGCTGCTTCTTTTCGCTGAGGTCTCACATCAAATGATGATTCCTCACAGAGGTAGGTCTTCCTGATCACCTGAACCAAGTCATTCTCATCCTCATTACTCTGTTTCACTTTATTCCCAGAATGTACCTTTAACTTTAATTTATGTTCTTCACACTGGTTTGTGTGTATGGTGCCTGTCTCATCGTGTTAGAACCTAAGCCTCTGAGGGCAAGGAGCTTCATCTCACTCAGAGCAGGATACACAATGCTCGGGACAGTGAATGGATGTTTGAGTTGCCATCTGTGTGCCATCTTGAACACAATCTGTAGTGAATGCAGTATTTTAGTAGATGTGATTTTAAACTAATTCCAGTGAAAGTGGCATAGAAGTAGGAGTACAGAGATGTTTTAAAAGAATAAACAGGGTATTATTTCCCAATAAATAATGGGAAAATTTAATAAAAATAAATAAAAAAGAATAAACAGAGAATTAATTTAATTTAATTCCATCCCCTGAGAGCCTAGGTTATAAGATCTACCAATAAAAAGCAAAAGAAAAAGAATGATAATGTCTTGTACAATATATAATCACAGCTACTACTTACTGAGTACTTACTATATTCCAGGTATTATTTCAAATGCTAAACAAAAAGAGACCTAATTCAATTCTTATAACAACTCTGTGATATAGGTATACCATAATACCCTCCATTTATAAATAATGATGTTGAGAAATGACGTTAGATAAGCAGTTACACAGGTTGATTGGCCTGAAGTTATAAAGCCAGCCAGTAGGTGGCAGAGCTGGGAATTGAATCCGAGGAGGTTGATTCCAGTCTGTGGTTGTAACCACTGTACATATGGTCTCATTTCCACTTCAAAGTGCAGAGTTTATTCACTTTAGTTCTTATTTATTTATTGAGCATACCTGGATTATTCTTTTACATATTGTTTTATAATAATGTAGTTCAGAATAAGGAACTTGAGGTTGAATTTTAGGCCCAGATATATTATTAAACTATGTAAACTTCAATCTACTTTCTATCCTCAGTTCTCAGATATGTAAAATGAAGGGTTGTCTGAGGTTTATTAAAATTAAACTAATATATATGTTTTTTTGCTCTACTATGGGAGCCCTGAGAACCAGGCAGCTGATACATTTCAGAAGAGTCTTTTTAGAAATATGTAATACGTTACCTGGACTTTATTCATCTCCAGTTTGTTCTTCTCATTGGCACTCTGGCTTTGTTTGCCGGCTCCCTTTTTCTGGGGGCCCTTTCCAAAGAAGATGTAATTCACAAAGGCATATTCCAGCAGAGCCAGGAACACAAACACAAAGCAACCCATCAGGTAAATATCAATTGCTTTGACATATGGGATCTTTGGCAGGGTCTCCCTGAGGTGTGTGCTGATGGTTGTCATTGTCAGCACTGTGGTGATTCCTATAAAACAGAAAGACACATCTTAGCTGAATGCACTCGTTAAGTGGTCCTTTCTAAGACTCAGAGGACAGATGTCATTTCCATATTGAGGCCCCAGAATGATGGCAATAATGCAGTAGACCACTGGCTGGGCAGAAAAGCACACATTTTGAAAGCTGAAGCTGCAGATCCCCTACGAAGTTCATGAACAAATCATAAAATGAAATGCATTGTTAAGGGAGAGTTAAAAACCATTGAACAATAATACATGAAGAAAAAAGACAGGCAGGTGGAAAGGCATGTCAAAATCCCATTGATGTACCTGCTGTCTGAGGTCAAATACTACTCATTTTATTGCATGCTACATCTATGTTCTTCCTTCTTTTAGCATCTCATCTCCCTTCTAAATTGTCCTTGTGATATGAATCCCCACAGCAGCCACTACCACACTGAAAGTTGGCGACCACTTTGAGAAAATTTACGTCATTCCACGAATATGTAATACACCTTGGTCACAAGGTTGGTATTACTTTTTAAAATTAATTGATAGTGAGACAACACTAAAAAAAGAAGCATATAAGAGAGTTCGTGATTTGCATTAAGCATTTGATTTGTGTACTTAAGATATAATAAAATGCTCTTGCTTTGGGTTTTTAAATATTACCTCTAGTTATTTGATCTCAGAATCTAGAATGAATTAGTTCCCTGGAGCCAAGAAAAACTTCCTAAATAATTCAGCATGGATTTGTTAAAGAAGTGTTCAGCTGTAAGTTCTTAAAATGAAGATTTTGCATTATCTAATTTGTTAAATATAGAATTCTGAACATATAATGTTTGTGTGGCTGCATAATAAATATTTGGTGTTGATGAAGTGATAATTGGAAAAAACAAGAAGTGTAAAAGAAGTTGGAATCTCATGTAGATGGTTTGTGCTGTAATATTAATATTGCACTTTCGTACAGTGTTTTATAGTTTCAAGCACTTAGTTATGAATTATGTGGCTCTCATAACAGCTTGCTGAGTGTGATAGGGCATGAATGTCATTTACACTTTAAAGCTGAAAAGAGAGAAATTCTGAGATTAGTTATTTTGCTGTAGATCACCCAGTTAGGGGCAAAAAGGGCAAGGAGTTGTTAAATGACATCTTTTAAAATAAAAGCAGAGGATGCTGAAAGCTTGAAACTTGATGGCAGTCCTTAAAGACAGAACATATGACATGAATAATACAGAGAAAAGGGAAGCTTGAAAGTGTATGGAAAGTAGAAAATGAAAAGGGAAAAATAGCTTAGCACTCATTTGCCTGGTCAAGTAATTCCAGATAGATTCCCTGATTTGACTATTTAGCTTTCAGGGGGACAAATGAAGTAGGAAGTCCAGACCATCATACAAAAAGTGAAAACAGTTTAGATCCATGATGAATTCAGTTATGCTGCCCTAGTATGAAATGCCATCATGAGTGGTCTTACTTTTGAATAAAATTTTAAATTTCAACTAATGTAATTCTAGCTAATGTCCTTGATAGAAACAAACAGTTCGTTTACAAACCCACTTGTTGCATTTCTGCTTTTACTCCTTGGCTTAAATTTTTTTTAATGCAAGATGGGTTACTCAATGAATGTCTTTTGTACATACACAAGTGTGAAAATATCACAGGTTTTACATTTCAAAGTGCAGGCTAAGTCAGCATACTTATATGCTGACATCTCTAATTAAAATATCAGAGCTTTGAGGCTAGACAAAGTGTAAGGACAATTTATGACCTTCATGGTTGTCATTCTGCCTCAGTGGATTTCATCCAGTGAGTTTTCCTTAATCACAGTGTACATACACATAGGCATGTTCATATTCAAATAACGTGCAGATACGTCATATGATATGATAAACTACTTGTTTACTTTCCCTAGTCTTGGAATGTTCAAAGGTTGATCAGGGACTGCCAGTACTTGACCTTGTGAGTTTTATGCACTAGAAGTAAGCAGTAGAGATGACAATTAATCTAGGTATGAGAGGGTATGCTGATCATCCAGCCCAGTTCAGTAATCTCAGAAGAGAAGAGGTATGTATGTTGGCCAGAAATTATGCTGTTTTGTATTTGTGTGTGTGTGAGAATAAGCCATGGAAAGTGATAACTGAAATGGCTGTGTGATAAATTAATGAGACAGATCCACCCATGCCCCAATTCATCGAACAGACCTTATACATCCTAACTTTCCAAGGAATCGTTTAGTATCAAATGTAGCCTTCCAGCTTACAGCAACTACTCAGCCATGACAAGATTAATTCTGAATTTTGTTCCCCCAGGAAGGAAACTATTTTTACTCCGTGCTGATCACAGATCATTAATGCAGCTGATGAATTGTCTGTGCCTTCCTCAAGTGCAATGAGCTCCACTTAAGGGAGACTCAGATCAATATGATTTAATTTTAGTTAATGTTCGAGAGAGAGAATTTCCCAAGTTTCGACATAGCTTTTTAATAGTCACAAGGTCTAGCTTTCTTCAAATCCATTTGATGATGTATTATAAATGTGCCCTGCTGTAAAAATCAGGGACTGAAGAGAAAAATCATCACACAGTGAGTAAAAATTAATGTAATAAGGATTTTAAAATATACTCTAAGAAGCACTTATATAATGCTGAACATACTCCAAGGTTTTTTAAAATTTTGGTAAAATGCTAAAAATATTATAATGTAAAACATTCACTCTGTATGTGCTCACACTTAAATGTCTTATTATCAGGCATTCTTCTTTCTCCACATTTTTAATTGTTGTTCAAGCACAGTTGTCTCCATTTTTCTCCCACCGCTCTCCCCAACCCCAGCCATCCCCACTTCTCACCCTTGGCCCTGCCCTCCTTTGGCTTTGTCCATGTGTCCTCTATACTAATCTTATTCCTTGGCTTGCTATGAGAGAAGACCATTGCTTATAATTCCAAACATTGGTTATTTGTTTAAAGCTGAATTCCACCAGCTCTCTGCGTTGCTGAGAATGCATTACCTAGTGCGACTCTGGCTGCAGAAGCATCATAGTTGATCCAAAAAGACACCCAGGACAGAATTGTAATCAGTGTGGAAGGCATGTAGGTTTGCAAAATGAAGTACCCGATGTTTCTCTTTAGACGGAAACTCAGTGACAGTCGTGGATATGACCCTGAGTTGAAAAAAAATCAGGTTATTGTTTGGTTGAAACCATCTTTCTTTCACAGTGCTCCTGACTTATTTGGGGGGAAACATCCTCACCAGTCGTGAACTCCACCTTCTTGGATACCATCTTGTAGTCGACAATTGAAAACTGAGGAAGCTCAATTTTATTGACTCCCGTTACTGCTCCCTCTCCGCCATTCCAGTAAAACTCAATGTCATCGGTGGTATAACCATCTGCAGCCAAGAAATACAGCAGAGTTAAACCAAGTTCTGCTGGTCTAGGAATTTATTTAAAAGACTTGGAGCTGGAGAGAAAATTTCCAGCAAGCACTGGTAGGATGACTGTGCTTTAAATCAGGATTGCACATAGGTCTCCTGATGAGTGCTACTTCTGATGGGTTGCTGGTGGCTGCATTGAGAGGATGCCTGCATCTGGCTTTGTGGACATGAGTTCTGTGATCATTCAGTGATGCCTGGTATCACTGCTGCTTGCTCATGCTCCTGTGTCTACCAGTGGGTACTTTTTGGTGAGATCGGGGGTGGGATGGTTGGATTCCAGGCATAGATTTTTACTATGTATCATTTAATAATGAGCATAATAATAACTGAGTACCTGTTTGTTAAAAGGGAAAGAGAATGGGGAATGAATGATGTACAAGGAAAGACCAAATTTGTACATACCCACTAGATGATTGAGACTTAGAAAAATACATGTAAAAAATTAGGCAAACTTCTATTCAAATAGTCTTATTATTGCTAATATGTAGGTGAAATGTTTAAGAACTATGTGAATTCTTGACGATATTTTCATACCTTAATATTTGTGGCAGTGAGCATTAGTTAATTGAAGGGGAATGTGTACTGCAGTAAGGGGTCCACCTTGAAGTCTATTTTCTCTCTCCTTTCACTTCTGCTCCCGCTTGCCATTGGTCTAACTGACTTATGGTCATATTTAAGAGGGGCTTGCATGAAAAGAATGTATTTCAACATATATTTAATAATCTAAAAGTCATTTAAGGTATATTGAAGGTTGTATTTGTCTCTTTATACCTGCTAGAGACAAAGATCTTTCTAAGTTAATTTCCTATTTATATTCACCTTCAATAAAAAAGCATTAAATCTTTTTTTCCCATTAGAATTACTAGGGTTTGTATAATGTAGCTAACATTATGTTGACTTACTTATGATGAAAGCCAGCAAAATTTTCTGGAGAGGCAAAAAAGTATATTTGAAATTTAGAAGTGGAATGTCAGGACACCGTCAACATATCGCCTCAAGAATATAAAAAAAATTGTAAGCTATTCTTCCCTTTTTTCTGAGGAAAAATAAAACTGACTTAACTTTGTTACTTTAAACATCTCTAACTTCTCTTCAAAAAATTCTTAACCCTGAGCTCATTAAACTCACTACTGTTTTATATTTTTATTTTTGCCGCTTTATAAGAATTATTATTATTTGCTGTAATATAATTCAATTTATTTTATTTTATTATTTTATTTCTGTTTAAATCATCTCCTTCTGGGTCCACGAACTTTTTCTCTGGGTAATCTTCCACATTCTGTAAGCCACTGCACAGCAACCCAAGTGTTGACATAGAAATAAAAAGTATGTACTTTTAGATGTAACCCCCAGTGTCTGAGAGGCTGTGTGATCCTCTTTACTTATTGGACTCAGAGTGATCTACACTTCTTGGCGTTTTAGAAATTTATACCGAGTTTGGGTATAGATAGGTCTGTAAGACTGTGATTCTTAACATCTGCTTGAGTATCTGATAAAAACTTCTGAACTCAAGACAGTGAGAAGGCAAACCACAGATTGGGAGAAAATATATGCAACATAAATGCCCCTCAGTGGAGAAGTAGTTAACTAAACTATGGCTCATTAATGTGCTATTATAAAGCCATAAAAAAGAATGAGGATGTTTTTATTCATAATATGGAAAACTCTCCAAAACCACTTTTAATAAATAATCACTCAAGTACAGATCATGCCAACAACATGTGTGTGAAAAACATGGGAAAAGCAAAAATATATTTGTATGTGTAAATGCATAAGAAACTCTGGAGGGTCAGATAACAAACTAGTAACAGTGATTTCTTTTCAGGAGTCTAAGTTAATGGGAGTGGGAGGGAAATTTTTACTATATATATTTCCATATTTTAATTCTTGAATCATGAAAATATATAAACAGATCAAAACATTACATTAAAAACAAGGCAATTCTAGAATCCTATATATTTTCTACATGTGAGCAATGAGGTTTCAAATACACAGCACCTGTGTGACATGGAAAAGATGCCGAATGGAGTTGAAAATAACAGCAGAGACATAATGGCTCACAAAGTTCCCCAGATTCTCATTCTGCAGCTTGGGTTTGTCAGAGGTGGACTGAGTGCACTGTGGCCAAGATTTGAGTAGAGAGGAGCCCTGCCCTGTGATGCTGAGTCTTTTACAGGATCAGACAGACACTCGTCTGACCGTGGGGCTGTGTGGTGACGGGAAGTCCTGGCGGAGGAGGTGGCCTGGTCGAGAGGCCCAGCCTCAGGGGCTCAGCAGCGGGGACCAGCCTGAGATTCTGTCACTCAATTCAAATCTGCTGAGTCTGCTCTCTGCGAGGAAGAAGAAAATGAACTTTGGGGATTATTCAGACTGCTATGAAAGTGACTTCCTAGCAACACAAAATCAGCTAAAAAATTCACGGTGTCCAACAAGTAGAAACAAACCAATTGGCTTGGGCGAAGAGGTGCTGATGTCAGGCCTGGGAGAAAGTTCTGCTAGGGACTTTTTTATAGGATGAAAAATGCCCCAGCATCATCAATTCAGGAAGATGGTGTAAGAAGTAAGTTTTTTCAAAAAGATAGATGGAATCAAAATAAATGCAGTTTAGTTAAAACAAAGAAAACCTTTAAGGAGCCAAGGTAGTATATCCAAAATTCAAAGTTGTTTTTTTGTCTGACTTTGTCTGAGTGTGCATTTTAGACTAGCTCATCTCATACCCTTCACTCATCTTTATATGGGGCAGGGGTGGTCTTTCATTCAGGCAGGTTCATGATAGGCTCTTCATATTTCACAAATGAATAGCTGTCCTATTTGGAGCTAGACTGAAGATGAATATTCTTTCAGTTGGCCACACAGAATATTTGGACTGTAAATACTTGTCAGGGAGGAAGGCCTTAAACCAAGTATCTAGTTACTGTCTGTGGAGAGAGACATTATTTATAGATCAAAGCCTGAATATCAGCCTTGGTTCTCGTCTCAGTTTGGGGCTGGATTCACCTACAGTTTTTAAGCTCATTATGCCTCTGTCATGAGCTTGATGGCCTCGGGTGTCCCCTTTCCAGTAGGCAGTAAACACAGGGCAGATAGAACACAGCTTCTACGCGCCACCCAGGAGAGGCGCCTGCTTGCTCACTTCCCCTTCCTGAAAGCTCCAACATGTGCTGACCTTCCCTGCCAACCTGGACAACTCTGGATTCCACCTCTCATCTTCCTAAAGTCCATCAGAATTCCTGCTGAAGCACAGTTATTGCTATCTGTAAACTGGCAAGGCAAATCTATGGAAACTATACCCAGCCTTCCAGTATGCATAATTTGAGTGCCTACTATGTGTCAAGTGCTACTCTAGGCACTAAAGATATACAGTGCTTAAGAAGAAGCTTAGCCTTGCTCTTCAGGATCTCATGGTCTAACAGCAGTCTCGGCAAACTGTTGGCCTGAGGGAATTAGAGATGGTTTTGCAGGGGGTTTGTCCAGATGGGTAGAGCAGGTTACTTGGCAAAAATATTAACATGTAGAGTGAATAACAAAAGTAGAATGATGTCAATGGGAAGCAAATTTGCTTCATAAAGCTTATTGAATAAGCAACTTAATTTTAGCAAGAAAAATGAAATTCACAGGGCAAAGTTGAGTATATACAAACACTCTAACCTCCTCAAAGATTTCAGCATGCAAAGGTAGAACTGAGCTGAGAAGAATGAAGTGATTAGGTAGCCAGTGAGTGCAGTAAGGCATGTAGACATATACCCAGGTACTACTCACAGTCCTTACTGCTCCCAATTGCTTTTTATCAATTAGACAATGTGTTTGCCTTGAACAAATCACAGAACCATGTCGAATTTTATATCCTATCAGGCTCTGAGTTCCTTGAGGTCAGGGACTGATTCTCAATTCCTTTTTGTATCTCAGTATCTAGTATATATGTGTATACCCAGCTCCTAGCATATGGTCAGTACCTAATAAAAGTTTTTAGAATATTGCATTCTTGATTCTCATCAACAAGACTCTTGGTTTTGTAGTACCAACCTTAACTTGACAACGAGGCAGGAAGGTATGTACATGTCTCTACTGGTTCAGTGAGTAGATATTTATTGAGTGATGACTGTCAGGTGGTGAAAAAGTCCTGGGCAGGGGCGGGTAGGAGAATAAAACTGACATTCCTCTTGTCCTCTGGAGCTTGCCAATGCCTTCTAAAGTGTTATACATTTCACCAAATTCCTTCTGTGGCAGGTACTGTGTGGATTTGCTTTCTTTAGCATGTGTCCAGATCTACACTTTTAAAACTACATTTCCAGACTCCCTTGCAGCTAAGGTTGTGGCTATGATTAAGGTTCCCTGGATCAGATGGAGCTAAGTGATGTCAGAGGTGGTATTGGAGGCACTCATTTTGTTGGTGCGACTCATGTAGTGTAGGGAGCAGGAATCCTGGTTTTAGGTTTTGTGGTCCTCAAGTCAACACCAGCTTCCTGACTGTGGTGGAGCTCTCAGTCCCCTGGGAGGGCCAGTCTGTACTGTGATCTGGGAGTTGTTTCCAGTGGCCCAGCCTGGAGCCTACTATTGTACTTATTAATTTTACAAGCATTACTTCTCTTTCATTAAATCTCTTTCTGCTTAAGCTAGCCAAATGGACTTCTGGTATCTGCGACAGAAGCTGGACTGATGCACTCCCTCCTAGGGAAGAATTACTTGCTCAGGATTGCCAGAGCTTTACATTGAAACCTCTGTTGTGGCTTGTGCCAATTATTCATTTGATGTTTCTGAACCTCATATCTTGCTTTCTACACATTGTTCTGTACTCCTGGTCCTGGGCTCCCTGTGTCTCCAGCTTTGTGTTAGATGCTGTTCTTTGCAAGATGTGGCTGAAGATTAGAAGGTGGAAGGGGGAGGGAAGGCTCTTGATTCTGGCTCTGGCCATGTGGTGGCACTGCAGTTGCTTGTGATTGCTGCTGGAGCAGCGG